CCAAGTCACTAGATCAATTTTTGTTACGTTTATTTCAATGTCGTTGTACTTTGCATGTTGTTATTGAAACAATTTTCTTGTGGTTTAATTCAATGTCTATTTGTTTTGCATTATAGGGAAAACTGCTCAAAAATATAACTCAAGGAGTAAAAAAGTACAAAAATTATTTGATGACAAAAATGTAAACAGTACCATTTGTTTAATACGCCTAACCTGTGTCCATTAAAATTTGAAAAGTTTGAAAAAAATACATAAAAATACCACATATTTGGGGCTTCGATAAAACGATTGGAAGATATTTCCATCTAACACCGGACGATGGCAGCAGGTGTTGGCACAAGACGAAAACCGGATATTTTTTTTTTTTAAATATAATAATGAATATTTAATAATTATATTTCTGAATTTTAAATTTCGGAAATTAAATTTGAGATGGAAATTTAATTAAGAAGAAATATCAAGAAGCGTTAGAACGCTTCTAGATTTAATCTCATATTTTTAAGTACATATGTTGCATAAATAAAACACGATTTCGCATAAACAGTAAAAAACGACAAAAAAATGCTCCAAGCATTAAATATAAAAAAAAACCCCAAAACAAACAGCCTACTGTTATTTAAATTTTATCAAAATCAGAAACACGAATAATAAATAGTTTTCTGAAAAATAAAGGCACAAAAAATAGTGAGTCATGAAGAGTCGATATGTTAAATACCTGTCATGAGGTGTAAAGACGCGATATTTAAAAAAAAAAAAGAAGTAAAACGGACATAACACACAAAAAATAATGAATATATAGGGTCAGAATATTATCAGGAGAAGCCCTTGAATGACAACTTACAAAAACGAAAGGACATAGACATAATTTATATTCAAATTTCACTGGAAATAAGTAAAATGATAGAAAATATAAATAAAATAAACAAAAGATACTTAACAAAGAACCTTCCTTGGCCTTCAACCTAACTTGAATCTATCTATCTATCTATCTATCTATCTATCTATCTATCTATCTATCTATCTATCTATGACAGTGTGTGTTCATATCTATCTATCTATCTATCTATATATATATATATATATATATATATATATATATGTATGTATGTATATAAACAGTGCATTTACTGCATAACTGTGCCTATATAAATATAAATAATGTAAAATAATAAAATAATTGCCGGACTTTGGAAGGAAGATTTTTTTTACTTAACTTATGTATATATATATATATATATATATATATATATATAAGTTAAAAAAAAATTTTTTTTTACTTATGTATATATATATATATATATATATATATATATATAAGTTAAGTAAAAAAATCTTTCCTTCCAAAGTCCGACAATTATTTTATTATATTTCATTTACATTATTTGGAAGGAAGATATTTTTTTTACTTAACTTATATATATATATATATATATATATATATATATATATATATATATATATATATAAGTAAAACAAAACTTCCTTCCAAAGTCCGACAATTATTTTATTATATCTTATTATTTTACATTATTTATATAGACACAATTATTTAAGTAAATGCACTGTTAATAATAAACAGTATTTACAGCACTTATCGGCCTGAACGACCGTGAAATTATTATAGAAAATATGGGTCCTCCGATAGAAATCGAACCTGTATCCTACTTGGAGCAAATATAATCATCCGAGGGAAACCATGGAAAAATTGTAGTTTAAAAGCAGTAAAATCGACCTTGTTAACCAGACGCCCCTCTATAGCTAAACTGCTATAGTACGTCATGCTACATGGCTGTTCCGTGTAGGATAGAGGTTCAATTCCTGTCGGAGGACGCATATTTTCTATGAAAATTTCTCGGACGTTCAAGCTGGTAAATGGTGTTAATACTGTTTATTATTAACAGAGCGTTTACTTTACTTTAGCTGATTTTATTATATATACAAAACAAATATAAATTTAAAATTCTCGGCGTACCCTCTTCTTCATACGCATGTGTAGTCGCATTAACGTAACATGACTTTCGTCCGATGAAGTGCTAAAGAACGAAACACGTCACGAGAAAACGTTTTCCATTTTGTTATGGGTTTTCTCCTAAAATTGGTCTTGATATATATATATATATATATATATATATATATATATATATATATATATATATATATATATATATATATATAAGTGCAGGTATGCAGAAAATAGAAAAGAACACGTTGGGTGCATAATCCGGAGTCCCTTAGTATTTTTGTTTTTATTTTTAAGAAGACAGTGCCCCATACAGAAATAGAGCTTTATTATAATATTTTTGTTTAAAAAATATGATTCCTTCGTTACATAAGAGTTCTGGACATGAGAACTCTTATGTAGCGAAGGAATCATATTTTAAACAAAAAATAATATAATATATATATATATATATATATATATATATATATATTAGGCAGCATATGATTTACATACAAGAATTAATCACACATAGAATTAATCAGAAGTATCAATGCGATTATTGGCGACATCCGTCACTAGAAAACATAATATATGCATTAAAATCCTGTTCATCCATAGTGCGAGTTTTGATCCTTGAAGAAAAACTTGTTGTCTGTAGTTTTTCAGTTAAAATGCTAGTACTTACGGACGGTCTTCCATCCATCATCAGGCATGTGTTTTTTTTCTTATAAAATCAAAAACTTGAGACGATATATCTGTATGTGGACCGAAAGATGTTTTTTGAATATCTGCTATTATTGACGGTTGTAAGATCTCGGAACGTGCAAAGACGCAACGCTAAGTTTTTCAAAATTTTTAAGTGAGAATTTTATTTAAATATTTCTTGTGATGTGTTGAACATCGAATAAACTGAAAAACTACAGACAACAAGTTTTTCTTCAAGGATCAAAACTCGCACTATGGATGAACAGGATTTTAATGCATATATTATGTTTTCTAGTGACGGATGTCGCCAATAATCGCATTGATACTTCTGATTAATTCTATGTGTGATTAATTCTTGTATATATATATATATATATATGTATATATTGTTTTCCAATTTCTTGATGTTACCCACCTGGGAAGACGATTACACTGTGCGGAACTATTGGAAATTACCCGAAAATATTTCTGTTTGATGAAGCGTTGAGGTGGTTTTAAAAGAGTAGCTTAGATGTGGCACAAGGCCAAAAGTATGGGGCACTGAGTAAGGATCGAATTTACTATTCAGTCGTAAATGATCGAGCGAAACAAACTTGTTAACCATTACACGACGTAGAAATACCTAAATATGATAGCTTTGAAGCGTAGTTTAGATGTAGCACAAGACCGAATGTAATGGGCACCCAGTGAGGATCGAACTCAATACTCGATCTTAATTGATCTAGCGAGACAAGCATCGTAACCATTACAGGGAGTTGATTTGTCGTGATCCAAGTGTTGTGAGTGAAATTGGATAGATGGAACTTTTCGGAAGCCGTCAATGGTTGTGATCGCACGCAGTCACAAGTCATCGTGACCGATGCTTTCAAAGTACTGGCCTTGTTTAAAACTGATGATCATGGCAGATTATGCGCTCTCTCCCATATAAAAACTGCAGCTAAGATGCGCTCTGCATTGTTGCAATATAAACCAAAGATGGGTTCTGTGGGTGTTGAACATATACAAATGTGCCTGAGCAGACGTATATAATAGAACCTGGCTAGCTGCCCTAGCCGATGGGTGTGTTAGAAGTAGCCGGTCATTATTTATGTAGATATATATATATATATTTATGCGTGGTTAGAAAGAGAGAATGACAAGAGAAATAGAATGTAAACGTCAGTTCACAGAATAAAGAAAAGCGAGCGCTTTGTAATAGGAAAGCTTTCAAAATCAATAAGGGTTGAGAGGATGTGACGCAAGAGAAAATATTAAAGATATCACGAACGTGTGAGAGAGCGGAAGTCTCATGTCGTGTCTAAATCGATACGAACACAAGTTTAAGAAGATTCCGGCAGATAAATAGATACGGAGACCGATAGCTGAGTGAAAAATCGCTTTTGAAAGTTCTCCGCAGTAATTTAATGAATGAGAGTAAGATAACGAGAAATAAAAAAAAAGAAAAGAAAGATAGGATTGGCTATTAAGACAAGTAAACATTTACAGACAGTGGCTTGTTGTAAAGGTTTAACATTGCATAATTCGTTATTGTATCGCTCAATTCAATTCCGTTCTGTCTATTTTTCTAAACCGACTGACGCCATGTTGTTTAATTCCGTTTTTCTGTAACGCAACAACGGTGACAGAAAACTCTCTGATGTACGAATGAAGAAACGCATGCATTCTCTCGCGCTCACACACAGTCATCATTTGTTTAATCATATTTACACTATCAGAAGCACTACTGTATCTTAGCACAGGAAATATATAAAAAAATGTCTACAAAAATACATTCACATTCTTTAAAAACTTGTACAGAAGAACCCCCCTGTGTGTACTTACAATGATATTTTATTCAGAATGATATTAAATAAGACACGTTATTTAAAACCCAAAACAAAGAGATCTGTTCAAATGAAATGGTGCAGAAGTGCACTTTAAAAAGAAGAAAAACATTGATCCTATTGTTTATTGCACCGTAAGCAAAGTTCACAATGATTTTATTTTGTAATATCTTTTATTGAGAGGACGTTCAGTGAGTCTTTTCTTGATGTTAGGCTACACATGATTGGCTGCCGTGGCTGGAAAAAGCAAACGGTTAATTAACACTAACAGACGACACATAGAAGGAGACTATATATTTTGAACAGCTCAGAGCATCTCATATAATCTCTCAAGGAGAGGCAAAGATCGAGCCATAATATTTGATGCTATGCAAAGAGATATATCCAACAGGCGTCAGGTTAGGTGAAAAGATAGATCAACCAGGTTGAAACAAAGCGAAGGACTAGATCCACCAGGGGTGAAGCGAGGCAAAGGGAAGGATCATCCAGCTGTAAAGAGACACGAAGGGCTAGATTCTCCACGTGTGAGGCTAGGCAAAAAGACAGATCCTCCAGATGTGAGGGAAGAAAAAGAGACAGATCCGCCAGACAAAATGATAGATCCACCAAAGAAAATAGATAGATCCACCAAGTGGAAGGCTAGGCAACGAGATAGATCCATCAGGTGAGAGGCATGGAAATAAGGCGATAGTGAAGCTGGCCAAACAGATGGGTCCGGCAGGTGTGAGGCTAGGCAAAGTGATAGATCTGTCAGGCGTGAGGCTAGGCAACGAGATAGGCCCGCCAGGTATGGGGCTAGGCAAAGAGATAGGCCCGCCAGGTATGGGGCTAGGCAAAGAGATAGGCCCGCCAGGTGTGGGGCTAGGCAAAGAGATAGGTCCGCCAGGCGTGAGGCTAGGCAAATAGATCAACTAGGTGTGAGACTAGGCAAAGTGATTGATCTGATAAGCGTGGGGCTAGGCAAAGTGATAGATCAGCCAACCGTGAGGCTAGGCAAAGAGATAGATGCACCAGGTGTGAGGCAAGTTAAAGAGATAGATCCGCCAGGCGTGAGGCTAGACAAAGAGATAGATCTGTCAGGCTAGTCAAAGAGATAGGTCAACCAGGTTTGAGATTCGGCAAAGTGATAGTTCCAACAGGCGTGAAGCTAGGCAATGTGATAGATCAGCCAGGCGTGAGGCTAGGCAAAAAACGATAGATCCACAAGGCGTGAGGCTTGGCAAAGTGATAGATCCGCTAGGCGTGAGGTTAGGCAAAGATATAGATTCACCAGGCGTGAGGCTAGGCAAAGAGATAGATCTGCCAGGCGTGAGATTCGGCAAAGAGATAGATCCAACAGGCGTGAAGCTAGGCAATGTGATAGATCAGCCAACCGTGAGGTTAGTCATAAAAAGGATAGATCCACAAGGCGTGAGGCTTGGCAAAGTGATAGACCCGCTAGGTGTGAGGTTAGGCAAAGATATGGATTCACCAAAGAGATAGATTCGCCAGGCGTGAGGCTAGGCCAAGAGATAGGTCCGGCAGGTGTGGGGCTAGGCAAAGAGATAGGCCCACCAGGCATGAGGCTAGGCAAAGAGATGGATCCGCCAGATGTGAAGCGACGCGAATGGCTAGCTCCAACAGATGTAAGTATAGCCAAAGAGACAGATCCACCAGTTTTGAGTCTGAGCAAAGCGATAGATCTGCCAGGTGCGAGCAGAGTTCGAATTCCAGTTGTTCGTTACATTCACTTTGGCGCAAATACTCTTGGAAAAAGAATGAACCTATCTCTTCTCCCCACCAGAAAAACTAGTAGAGCAGACTGATCTTTTCAGTCTTGGTTAGCAATCTAGAAGAAGAAAACTCTGAATTCTCAAATCCGGGTAGATGGAAAAACATTTCAGTGATAGTCATACTTGTTTAACTAGCTATCTGTAAATATAAAGACAGATTCACCCGGTACAAATCCCGTAGGCCACTCGAGGTACAAGGTTACGTTAAGTGGTAGTTTATATGGATAGAAGGTGAAAATAATGGTTGACTCGAGATTTGAACAGGTTAAGATTGTAGTGATCGGGGAAACATCCTCTTGGGAGTCTTTCCCATAGGGCAGTGGTACGTGGCAAGAAAGCTGTCTGAGTGGAACTTACCTCTTGCCGATGGAATACGGAACGAATAAGCGTGCTTTGTTAATATGTAAGTGGCATGGTGGGTCTTAGCCGCGAATGTCAGACCGGGTGGAACCAGGAAATGAAGTTCGTCCGAGCACTTTCCATGGTAGTAGCGATAGAGTAGTGAGAGACTTGCCACATCCCGCCCGTGAGAGAGAGATATTCGAGTATGAAAAATAATTCTTCTCCAACAAGGACTCTGTGATGATTTTGGACTCTTATCGAGATTGGAAAGTGAGGGTCGGACAGCACCTGCCTAAATATGGCAATACTACTCCATTTTTTGGCAGATATAGCTCTTATAAATATATAGACTCTAGAATAGGACCACTCTGAATTCAAAACCCGAGGAAGGTCGTTTGGGGTCATTGTGGAACTATGTATACCAGTTCTCTATATATAATCCACTGTGCGAGTAGTGTGGCTGTACCTCATACGTCGAATATATATATATAAATTTAAATCCCTAAACTATTTGTTTAAAAAAATTAAATATTTAAATTGATAGCAAACATTAAATTTTTTAGACATTTAAATTTCTATCAAGCATTAAAATCTATTCTTTACATAAATTGCTAAAACCCAATTACAGCCTCTTTCTCTTCTTACTTTTTTCTTTTTCTTTTCTCCCTACTCCCCTCCCATTTCTATATATCACTTCCGTTAAGTTAACCATCTAAAGAGGTCAAGGTCTGGTCACTCCTCCTCCCCCAATATAAAGTATACTTGAGAGAGATATGAAATTAATCCCTCCCTATACTCTACCATGTCTCTTTAACTACCCCTTTTACACTCTCTGTTAAATTACAAAAACTTACACTACCCATCAATTTTAATTTCATTTTTCGTTTCATTTCATTTTTGGAAGTGTTATCTGATGATCCGGCGTCCTTTTAAAAGGGCTCTGGTGAAATAAATTATTATAATGGTACCTTAAAGTGGTCTGTTTTTCTTTTAAATATTAGCTCTAGATTTACATTGAGCTCTCAGGATTTCATCCTCCTTGGGATTACCCATACGGATTACCAAGTATATATATATATATATATATATATATATATATATATATATATATATATATATATATATATATAGTAGTGGGTAGTGGCTCGGACTGAGGGCTAGGAGTTCGAATTCCAGTTGAATCCATTACATTCACTTACGTGCAAATACTCTTGGGAAGTTATAAATCCTTCATACGTCGAATACGACGGGAGAGTCACACACACACACACACACACACACACACACACACACACACACACACATACATATATATATATATATGTAATTAAACAGTATTAATTACGAGTACTGGCCTGAATGTTCGAGGAATTTCGTAGAAATTATGCGTTCTCCGGCGGCAATTAAGACTGGCGTGCTATAACCGCTTATAAAACTTTCGGTTAAGTAACGCTTTAATTAATACTTTTAAACACACACATTCACCGATCTTTCTCGATCTATCATATCTGCTCTGTATTCGTATCCTAACGTAAACGACAAATATTTAATATATTTTTCTGTTTATATGTTATTCAGACTGGCAAATGTAATTAATACTGTTTACTTAAATAAGTGTATACATAAAAAATAAGGTTTTTGGAGGTGGAGTGGACGAAGATTGTCTATAATTTTTTTACGCAGCCGCAGTACTTCAGTCATAGATATCGCTGTTTCTATATATGAAGTTATACATTTTAATGGAGTTTAATTCTTCTTCTTTCCAAATGCTGAAAGTTTATGAAAAGTGAATTCGCAGTTATCTGTGACTTAAATGGATTTGTGGTCTCGGAGGTCAATCTCGCTTAAGTGCGTGAAAATCGATAATTCCCATTGATTTTGCGAGAATGACAACCGTGACCAAAAATCCAAGTAAATTTAATAAACAAATTTGTTCAATTATGAAAGACATTATGGTATTAGAAAGAATACGAATTAAAGAATAGTCTTATGGAAAAATTATTATCATTCAATATGAAGATGACAAATAAATAACGATAGTTTATAAAGGAGATAATGGTGAAGGTGAGAAACTGAAATAACACTTAGGTGGCGTAGCAAAGAAAAGCGAGAAGAAGGGACTATTAAAAGTAGGAAGTCAGAATTCATGTTTGTCAGAAAAAGAAGCATTCCAAGATGTGGACTAAATTTTCGATCATTGGTCTCTACGTCTTCCTATCGTTTGTGGCCCTTAGCAACGTTTTGACAAGGCTCAAATTCAGTATAGGTGATGTAGGCACATAGATTAGTTATAACAAATCGAGCAAGGGCAAACCCGAGGCTGTGCAATGGTTAACAAGCTTGTCTCGATAGAACAATTACGACTGAGTAATGAGTTTGATCCTCACTGGGTGCTCCATACGCTCGGACGTGTCACATCTAAGCTACGCTTAGAAAATCACTATTTGCGCACCTCGAGATGGTGTAATAGTTAGCAAGCTTGTCTCGCTAGAACAATTACGACTGTGTAGTGAGTTCGATTCTCACTGGGTGCCCATACTTTCGGCCATGTGCCATATCTAAGCTACGCTTGGAAAATAACTATAACAAATCTGGCAAAGGAGATACGGAAATTGAACAAAGAATAGCCTGCACGAGATTTATTTTCGACAAACAACGTAAATTGCCACAAAAACAAAACATTAACTTGAAAACTCGTGTCTTGTTCTTAAACAGCTTCATCAGTTCTAGACTTCCATATGGATGTCTTGTATGGCGCCAAACGCGTTCAGAAATATCTAAACAGTCAGCTGTATAAACCGCTTACTTAGATCAATGGTTAAGAAAATTTTTAGCGAGTGAAGCGTGTGGGTCTTAGTAAAGACAATCCTTCTTCGATTGGTAGAATGATTTGTTTGATTAAAGACATATCAACACGTTATGGGTCATTTAATGCCGCAATTTAATTTCCCGGGGAACTTTGAAGTAATAAATACTTATATTGCTGTTGGGCTGAAATAAGGCGACGAACACTTAGATATAAAATATATATAAATATCTTTATTGTTTAAGTTACGGCGAATGCGTAGAGTGTGGGAGAATCACAGAGGTTTGGACTGCGCACACAAGAATTAACAGAGAGAAATCTTCGGTGAACCTCTAACCAAGAATCGGACCGGTTGAATAACGTTTTGACACCTACGCAACTTCACGTGCCCACGCCTTCTTCCGGTATGTCGCCTACGCAACTTCGTGTGGCCAAGCCTCTTCCGGTATGCACCCACGCAACACGAATTTCTTTACGCTCAGAACACATGTGTGCCCAGTTTATTTTACCCACCGGATGCGTTTCCTGTCTATGCTATCACCAGTTCAGATTGACGCTTACACATTGATGCAGCGGAAGTAATGCCAAAAAGTCTTTCCTCAATCGATATCCAACAAATATATGTGTTATTCTGCTTTCACAGTTGAATAAATGATAGACGATACTTGGCTTTTGTGCATATACATGTTTGTGTGGACATAATTACTAGAGGCTGTGGTATGTATGTTTTATGTTGTAGTTTTGTTGAAGTTATATTTTAGAATGCAGAGATATTATATGGACTAATGTCATGAAAGATTTCTTTCATGTTGGTTGTTTTAATTCGTTTTTCCGGCACATCAACCTCTATGGGTTATTTAATGCCGAAATCTAAATATATTGTACGCAATTTTATGCTTTCAACTATAGATATTGTGTACATAATGAATAAAGGTATGATTTCAGAATAAAGGTATGATTTTTTTTAAATATATATTTTGCAGGTCATAAAATGTATTGTTGGTAATTTTACTATAAAAACGTATTTTTATATTTTTTTTTAGTGATGCATTGTCATTTTGCTATAAAGAGTGTACTGTTGGTCATTTTATTATAAAAATGTATTGTTGATTTTTGTTTGAGTGTTCACTGTTTGCTCATAGTTGGAAGCCTGACAGGGTAAGGATAGAGTTGGGAACAGCAGCAATTAAGAGGTAGTTCCATGCTCCTCAAAATCCCCCGTTGAAAGGCCTTGCCGCCGGATGTAGTACTTTATCGCCTTACCAAGAGCAGCCAACACACACACACACACACACACACACACACACACACACACACACACATATATATATATATATATATATATATATATATATATAAACCATAAAACATTAGGCAGCATATAATTTATATACAAAGAAATAATCACGCATAGAATCAATGAGCAATACTAATGCTATTATTGGCGATTGATTCTATGCGTGATTATTGCTTTGTATATATATGTATATATATGTAGAGAGAGAGAGAGAAAGATAGAGAGAGAGACAGAGACAGAGACAGACAGACAATCATACAGACAGACTGACAGATAGACAGATAAAGAAAATGTTCTAAGTTAAACAATTTCTCGTTCAATCGGCAACTTTATAACGCATCCTG